GCTCCGCCCTCTACTGGACTCTATGGGTACTACTGTTTATCATGCAATGCGTGCATTCACCTACTGAGTTGCATAAACGTAGCCGGCCAATCGGGGAGAGCCTACCTGAATGCGCACGCAGGCCCACAGTATTAGTCTATAAGGCGGCTACGCCTCCCGACAGTCATCCTTTTTCTCTTCAGCGAGCAGCTTTTTACCCCCACGAAAGCAGGGACTTTCGTACGGCTCTCTTGTGAGAAAATAGCTATATTTCTGATTGGCTGGGCAGATTGCAAACCACGCCCCGTAAAACTCCCAAAAAGTTTTGTGAAGCCGCCATTTTATTATCCTCGCATTAGCATTATTAGCATTAGCCCAGCGCAGAAACGCAGAGAGACTAACTTATGGCAACACAAAATAAAACATGGGAGCGGTGGAGATGAGGAGGTGTCGGCGTTCTGGCGATTTACTCGGAAGGCTTCAGTAGAAGCTGCTGGGAGTCTCAGCAGCTTCTACTGAAGCCAGTCCCCAACTCCGGGGACTTCCGGCCGGGGACTTTGGGCGGCAGTATACGCCGTGAAGTGGTTTGCGGCCTGCCAGTAAACCCAAAGCAGAAGAAGAAGAAGTGACGTCAGCGGCTTCATTTGCCGAATCCCCAGGTTCAAAGAGTTCTCATGAACTAAGTTCTCATGAACCTTTGTGGGAAAAGTACTGCGGTGGGAATGCGCCTAATGGTATACTAAAATCCATGTGAAAAAAATTGCTTCTCACTGTTCTCAGGTCAAATATTTATATGTGATTAAAAATGCGATTAATTTCGATTAATTAATTACAAAGCCTCTAATTAATTAGATTAATTTTTTTAATCGAGTCCCGGCCCTAGTTAAATCTTTTTAATTCATATGCATGTATTTCTTAGTTAGGCAGAATGTTTTATATTATTTATACTTTATACTTTTTATATGTTTTGTCTGTAAGACGGTTTGATATTAATTTATCATGCATTTTAACTGAGAGCCTTGACATAATGTGACTGAACTGTTGATGTCAGAAATAAACGTGCTGTGATCTGAGCAAGACGCTAACTTTGGTCCTCTCTCTCTACAAATCCACAGACACAGTTTATATGTTGGTTACACAGTGCTCCTTAGCCTGTGAAACCCTTGCTGCTGGTCCAGATTACCCCTAGCTCTGGTGCCGGTAACACACACATAGCATGATAGAGAGTAGTACCCATAGAGTCCAGTAGAGGGCTCCGCCTGTGCTTATATAACTAGGGTTACAATACGTAACCCCCCGTTATGGGATGGTCAGACTGAACAGGGGTCCGCTGCCTCAAACTTCCTCACAAAACGGCCACAACAGGCCAATCCAGCATTCAAACTTTACTACAGCTGGCTCTGTGCACTACACCAAGACTTCACATGTGAGACAGTTACTCACATGTTCTCACTTTGAGTTAAAACACCTATCAGTAGCAGGAAAGATGAGAAGAATTTTTTTTGTAATGCTGGGTTTTATGTCCTCAATCAAAGCAGTAACACATCTGAATTCTATTCAAATGCAGACTCCCCATCTTTTACTAACAGCATCTGGGGCGCATTAGGAATAATATAGAATAATAACAGACTCCTTTCACGCATGCTGCCCCTGTCTATTTCAGTTTTCAATTAAAATAGTAATAATGATCTTTTTCTAGCGCCTCTTCTACCTTCTCACTGTGTTTGTACTTACTAAAGTAGGTGGGATGTACTCACTTTCCTAGACGTTATTGTGCTTTCATGTATTCAGCATTTTATACTTCACAGAAAACTAAATAATAAGCCTACAATATTATTCCAGGAAAACACAAATATATGGATTATGTTGCCCTCTTATGGATAGTGTAGATAATCCTCAGACAACTCTGCTTTTTTTTAATTAGGGTAATCTCTATTTAAGGATTTAGACAACTAAATATGATTGTATTGGTATTAGGTGTAGAAGCATTAGCCTTACAGAAGTATGGCCCTTTATGTTAAAGCTGCATTATTATGAAAATGCTCCATTGCAAGTTCAATAACTGCATTCAAAAGTAGATGTATAGCAGTGTTAGCAGCTAAATGTATTTTTAAAACTCACAGTACTCGTTATGCAGGAAGTACTCCTCAGTTTTGTATTATGTCATATAACAGGATTCATTATTGCTGATGTGACTGGACAGTGTCAGTAGAATTTTAAAGTTCTAGTTGGAAAGAGGAGGAACTAATTCGTACTGTTAATACTAACTGTCTTAGACACCAGCCGGCACACCCTGTCCATGGTATACAGACTGGTCTTACTTTTTACATTGTATCAAATGTCTCAATAAAACAAAAAACTATCTGACTCATCAATCAGGCCAGGAAGACAAATCAAAACAACCAACTCCAAAAAGGCAATCCAGATCTACTATCACTGTATCTTCTCAACCCAACATTTCTGTTTCTGCCATCAGGCCTCAGATTGAAAGTCCCTACTGTCAGTCTCGATGTCCCCTCCCCCCACCTCCAACACACATGCACACACACACGCACACACATCTCATTTCAACCCTAAGCCCCCTTTCCAACAAGCATCAAGGATGATTTTAGGGACATTCTGCAACCATCGCCCTCAGCAGCACTGTAACTCATTTTAATGTATATATATTAATGTATTGTTAAAACTACTGAATAACATGTTGTGATAACCACATGCCAGTGAAAGAACAATCCACTTAGCAATTTTATTATGATTGCCCTTTGTCACTTTAAGACTTTAAGATGCATAACTGTAATGTATTGTGTGAGTGAACCTGTTAATCTGTGTGTGTTGTCTTACGTGCTGGTGCCAAAGACACACTTTGATTTCATGCATATTTATGGACAAAAGAAGTAATATGAATCTGAACCTATACAAATGTCTCAGGTTTAATTTGATGTATAACTCTTAAACCATGTGATGGCATAAACGTACAAACCCAACATCTAAAAAGTAATTATAGATTTGTAAAGTAGCATAACATTAAAATAGTACTTGTATTTGAGTAATTGTAATTTGAGTAATTGTACCACTGAGTAGCAATAGCAGAAAGCAACACTTTGCTCAGTTTAAGGAATGACATATTTGTTCATTCACAAACAAAAAGCTGTTTTGACTCCTCACATTTGAAACGTAAGGGGCAGAGCCTTTTCCTCTATGACCCCCTCCCTCCTGAACAAGCTTCCTGTCATTGTCAGAGGAACACACACTGTGTCAGTATTTATAGGCAGATTCAAAACTCTAAGGAAATCTGACAAACCTGATTCACAACCCACCTTTCACTTTCTAAATCCCCCTGCACTTTTTCTTTATTTACTGCAGGCTGCCCTGGTGCGTGTGCCTCATCTCCACAAATATATTTGTATTGCTCTCCACCTCCAATATTGCATGAAAGATGAACTGCTTTTCTACAGTACCGCACTAAATATAACAAACATCCCATCACTTAAGTGGGCTGGTTATGGGGGTATCACTGACAGATTGTATATAAATAAATTATATACAGTTTACAAATCTTCAGCCTGTCACTTGACCTGCAAGATGTGCATTTGGTTCTTGATTATAACAGACTAAACACAATTCCCTGTGTTAGCTTTCAGTAGTGAAATAACGTCACATTGCAGTGACATTTCTCTGGTAGATACTGAACTGAAAATAATTTAATAAATCACTTTTGGGTATCAAAACCCCAAACCACAACAACATTCCACAGGCTTCTTTCTGCCTTTGAACCTCTTCCACGGGATACTTTAAAACCCATATTTTGGCTCCATCTTGTGGACAACATATGTAAAAGCTCAATAAATAGGTAGTCCTTTCATGTATGAGCTAAACATATTAGATCTACAAGTATAATGTTTACCAAGTCACTTTGATTTATTAATAATTTTTCATTATGATTATGTAGAAAAGGTTTGAAGCAGATACGCCATTCCACTGGACATAATATTCTTAACATCACTCTTAGTTCATCTGTAAATTATGCTGCAGAATGTATTAATTAGTGATCTCGATTTGTGATCATTTGTTATTCCATTATAGCTTGCTTTTACCAATCCTTACATAGAAATATTAAAAATGGTGACAGTTTCTAAATTCAGCCCACTCCAAGGTGAGCATGTTTTTATTCAATTTGGATACCATGATGAGAACAGTAAAAGTACAGACACTCACACCTGGCAGGATTATTTAAAGACTTCCAGCTCACAGTTCAGTATATTTCTAAATTATAAAATAGTTATAGATTTATCATGGATAATATTATGTTGTTTGTTAAGCTTTAATGAAATATGAGATGCAATATTTTTCTTTCTTTTTTTAAATAAGTGTGCCACAGTAGACAAACCTTTGAGACAATAACCTAAAAATTGTTTAAGTGTATTTACTTTGCATGTCTAATATTACTTTAATGTTTAATCTTGTTGTGCTTTTTCATTAGATTGTGTATATATACACATGTGTTTCTGTGTCATTTTTGTTTTAACTGCTAATTTTATTAAAAAAACAAATTCCAGCTCACAGGAAGTAAACTCATGTGTAGTTCGAGTCACCCTGGTAAAGCCCCAATGCGCCCCACTCTTTTAAAGAAATCTGATCTCTTCATTCTATATACTAAGAAAAAATACAATTTAAACGTATGTGCTTGTGTAAATCGTCCATATTCGTATTATCGTTTTACATTTCCAGTGTTAAAAACCTCTGAATAAAACAAATACTATAAAATACACTAAACGTAGAAGCTAGGGAAGTGTTATAATTGATTAAAACATGTCGTGTTATAACATTGAAAGGAGAAATATATTGGCGGTACATCAAAGGATTCGTATGGTCACTTTTTGGTAAAGAGCATAGTAAAAAGGGGCTGGTTGTTTTTACGTGTTCGTCGAAGCCAAGTTTTTCGCTTCTGTGTCAGGGCTTGAAAGCACCACTCCGCCCAGGTTCCAGTTTTGCGTTCGTGTCGACACACTGCTCCTCGGCTAGCAGCCGGACAGCCACCGGCACGTCCGAGGAGACACCCAGACGAGTAGTGACATTATTTACAAGAGAGTTGGTGTCCCTGCACCCACGAGTCACTATTCCTGTCAACCGACAATCATCCAGGGTCCTTCTGTTACATCGAGTTGCCATTTTGTTCAACTCACAACAAATGTTTACCTTGTGCTTTAGAAATTAGGTTAAATCTACACATTTACAGGAGACACAGTGGGATTTATGTTTTGCATGAAAGAAAAATGTTTTAGACGTCTTTCTCTGCAGAATATCGAAATGCTACATGTGTAGTTAGTGTTTTGACCAATCAGTTGTAGAGCCTCGGTAGAGGGGTATAAATGTGAGGCGGTTGCCGTAGAAACGTGCCACTGAAGAGTTGAACGCAAGAGCCCGTGATAATCGTAAGGTAATTCTAGCGCGGTCATTCGTAGTAAATGCCATATTTACCAAACGTGAATTAATGTTATGGTAACTTGTGTTGTCCTGCTAATGACTGAACAATTTGCGACAGTTGTCATAAGTTGGAAAGGAGCCCACGAGGTTAAACGACTACATCCTAACAGCTAACGCTAGCTAAACGTTAGCTGCGGTAGCTAAGCTAGATGCTTCCTAACAGGTGTTGAATGAAGCTGCTCTCGATGGACCGCTTCCTAACAGGTGTTGAATGAAGCTGCTCTCGATGGACCGTATCGCCCTGTTTGTGGGGGGAAAAAAACAGATCTGTACATAAGATAACAATGTGAAAATACCTCGTTAGTGCAGTGTCGGCTGTCAGTTAGGTCGCCTGGAAACGATAGTACATGTATTCAATGTCCTCAATATTTATTGGCAGCTAGCTAATATGACTATTTATGCCACGAAAGCGTCATTCACAACATTTATTGGCCGGGATTACATCTACACCTTTCAAATAGAGTACTATAGCTAGCTCCCCTAGCTTCTCGTTTTCCCTGATAACTTGCTCTGGAGGTTAGCTGAGATGGTAGCTAACCGGTGGGCGTGGTGGCTTCACGTATTGCCCTGATCACTGTCAACAGCGCAGCCATGCTTTCTGCTCAACACCACACATTGCATCTGAAAACTACTATAAGTTAAAGCCTTATATATTAAACCAAGCCTGCAACACCTTACTGAATCTAATTTTAACAGTAGGTAAAGGTAATGTTTAGCTAAATGGTAATAATAATGATTTAAAATGCATAGTCTTTTGTCGGGTAGGCCTACTCAAAAATCTGCGATGAAGTTAATGATTTTTGTGTGGTGAAACTTTCTAAATTATTTAATTATTAATTCAATATTCCTGATGTTTATTTTTTTAAGAGTGGAAAAGATCTGAAAAAAACGTGAAAATATGAAAATAACTGGTATTTTGGACAAAACATTTTGAAAAGATGAACTGTGACAACCCTGTTTATGGAAATGTCTATCGATCAAAAGTGATTCCATAACCTGTTACTGTTTCACTTATTGACATACTCAAAAGTGCTTTGGAAACATGGTCTTGTTAAAGGCTCCTGAGCCCCCACTTGTCTCTTCTGATGGTGTTGCTATCCATTCAACTAGCATTTTATATATAGGCTTCTGCTGGTGATTTATTATTTATTATTATTTGTGAACATCCAGTCAACTGACTAATTTGTTCAGATAAACAAATCAGAGAATTGATGATACTGCAATCTCGTTGGTGTTGCTTATTTGACATTACCCCAGCCTTGCTGTGTCTTTATAAGGAAGCAATATTGAGCATACTGCAATCAAGCTATTTATTTTCAGTATACTATGCTGGAGACGTTGGGATGAGTGCTGAGACTTCAAACTTCTGAACTTCTTGGCATCCTATGTTTTTGTTCTCACTATCATTTAATCTACAAGAAGGCCTTTTGGGATCGTTGTTTGCTGTTTCAAGACACACGTGCAGGTGATCACATCCCCCTGTGTCTGCTGGCTGCCTGATTCTCAACATTGTTTCATGTTGAAATGATCATGATCAGACTATATGTTATGAGGGATGGACCTGTTGAAGCATATTGACTATTTTAGTACAGTATTGGCTTGACTTTAAATTGTCAACTTACCTACTAGCACTTTCAAATGTTGGACTGAACAGTGTTGCGTTGCATTGTGGGTAATGTAGGGCACCAGGATTTATGAATTCTGTTGTAAGTTAGAATATGTTTCAGCCCTGCTGTAGTATTAAGCAGTAACTACTTTTTGGTGTGTTTTTTCAGTATATACCCAATATCCATGTTTACTGAAGCAACTACTTTCTTCGTCTTTAGGAAAACGTGTGATGAACACCAAATTGCTGCAAAACATTCAACATACTCTTCATGGCCTTCAGAGTCTCTCCCACTGTGAACGGAAACCCCCCTCCCCCGGAGGTCATAAACCCTAAGAACCCTGGACGTGACACCAACCAGCTGCAGTACCTGGAGAAGGTGGTGATCAAGGCCTTATGGAAGCATAACTTCTCATGGCCCTTTCGCCAGCCTGTGGATGCTGTGGCACTGGGTCTGCCGGTAAGTCATGAGATTACTATAGCATCATGTTTTTCTGGTTTCAGGTAAATAATAGAATAATAGTATTACAATGTTTGAACTGCAATATCAGTTGTTATGGTGGAGTCGCTTCTTTAGACTTCGATCTGTGAAGGAAGGGTTTTGTATTCATTCTAGTGTATTCGTTGTCTTTCAGGATTATTATACAATCATCACAAAGCCTATGGATCTGACCACTATAGAAAAGCGTCTCCAGAACAAATACTACTGTGGAGCACTTGACTGTGTACAAGACTTCAACAACATGTTCACCAACTGCTATATGTACAATCGGGTAAGAGAATACTGTTGTGGTGCTGTCAAACACACCAACGTCAAACTGCCCACACAGAAGTAATGGACATATAGAAAATGAACAGTGAGGAAGTATTGTACATTTCAAGCAGTTCTGTGAACTGATATAATGTCCACTTATTGCTGTTCTATCATAAGGAGAGGGTTCACACCCAGGCATTTTATTTGAGGCTATTACAGTGCTGGAGATTATTTCTGCCGTTCAAACAGGATTGGTCTATCAATACATGCTTTACTAAGTTATTTTATTACGCACCTTCTCTTTCTACAGCCTGGAGATGACATTGTTTTGATGGCACAGACCCTAGAAAAGCTTTTTCTGCAGAAACTGTCCGACATGCCTAAAGAAGCGTTTGAACTTACAGCAAACAATACAAAGGAACCAGTGAAGGGGAGGAAGACACATACAGGTATCATGCACAGCCCCAGTCCCAACCGCAAGGAAGTAGTTCTAGTTTCATTTTGAAATGGTTTCTCATATTGTGCATGCGTTCCTCTTTGCCTCAGCTCATGCAGGTTCAGTAAAGCACAGATCCCTTATGTCAGAAGTTGTTCTCCAGCAGACTGTGACAGTCATTCCAACTGATGTGCCTAAATGTATCCCACCCAACCAGCTCTCTCTACAAATTGATCCCACAGTAAGTATTTCATTACTTTGAAAATAGATTTTACACTTTACATTCCGACGTTTAAACACATATAAGTTAAACAACTATAAGTTAAAGCCTTATATTAAACCAAGCCTGCAACACCTTATTGAATCTAATTTGAACAGTAGGTAAAGGTAATGTTTAGCTGAAATAATGATTTAAAATGCATAGTCTTTTGTCGGGTACTCAAAAATCTGCGATGTCGTTAATGATCTTTGTGTGGTGAAACTTTCTAAATTATTTAATTATGAATTCAATATTCCTGATGTTTATTTTTTTATGAGTGGAAAAGATCTGAAACATGTTGAAAAGATTTTTGTCTTTTTTGCTAGATTTTTACAATGAATACCCTATATATATTCATGTTGCATTGTTGGAGGAGCCTGGGACTGTAGCTATTGTGCATATGACAATAATATTTTGAATCTTGAATCTATTATAGTTTACAATTCAATTCTGATGCTTGACTCGTTAATTCAGTACGAAAAGTTGTATTTGTTTTCTTACGAGTGATAGCTTCAAAGAAAAAAAGGTAAAGCTCCTTGTGGCCAAAACGATGAGGATCTCTTGTGCTCTCCTGTAGTGCGGTCTATAGGTTTGTGTGCATGTACATGATCTGCAAAGGCTAACATTCCAGAGGGAGTTTCTCTCCTCCACACTCCCCCACCCTCCGCCTGAAATGTGATTCGATTTGGCTTGCGCTCAAACACATTGTACGTGACAGGCTGAGGGGCGGGACATCTCGTGTGTTGTTAAGCAATCACAACAGAGCCGGCCAGCTAACCAATCGGAGCAGACTGGGCTCTGGTTTCAGACAGAGGGGGAAAAGAGGTGCTGCAGCACAGGCAGTATGAGCATTTTTTAAGACTGACAACTTCCCAATTTGAGAGGGTAAGATACATACTCATTGGAGTTGGAAGCAGTATTACAATAAATTCTAAATGTATCATTCATAGAATTTGGACAATACAATTGGTCTATGTGCCTTCAGGCAAACTTTGATCTCATAACACAAAACAAATGGTCAATCATTCTTCTTACAGCTTTTTTAAGCTAATATAGTAATTTACTCTAAATGTGCAATATGTTTCTAAATACCCAGGTAAAAAAAGGTTTTAAAAGGAAAGCAGATCCCACATCCTCCACCACCTCCGTCATCTGCCGCAGGGAGGAATCCCTCTCTGAGAAACATTCAGCACCGTGTGCGTTATTGTCCAGGAGAGGCAGTGGAAGGCCCATCAAACCTCCTCTGAAGAAAGACTTACCTACCTGTGAGAGCAAGGTGCGCCTGTCTGAGCAGCTGAGGTTCTGTAACGACATGCTGAAGGAGATGCTGTCCAAGAGACACTATGCCTACGCCTGGCCCTTTTACACTCCTGTTGATGCTGTGTCTCTGGGCCTGCATGACTACCATGACATCATCAAGCAGCCTATGGACCTTGGCAAGATCAGGGTAAGAATATTTGGATGATTAGCATATTATGTTACTTTCAATATATGTCCGATCAATTTTCATCAAAGTCTTATTTTCTCAGAAAAAGATGGATCAAAGGGAGTATGAAAAGGCAAAGGAATTTGCCGCTGATGTACGTCTGATGTTCTCCAACTGTTACAAATACAATCCACCGTCACACGAGGTGGTTTACATGGCAAGAAAACTGCAGGTATATATTTCTCGTTCTTTAAAATCACTATGCTAATACGAAAATGTACCATGTGGAGATGTTTTGAAAACAAAGTGTTGTATGTTTCACATTCAAATGCATTTCGTATATGCTTAAGGATTCATAAATGTCTAGAATGTATAATCTTCTTCATTAAATGTTTGCAACCTCCATTTTTGGAAGAATTTGAAACCTACACTGTGAACATCAACATGTGCTTGCTAGCAGAGGCCTTCCTCCTTGTCTTGTTTGGTACGTTGAAGGTCACAGCGTTATATTTCCTGGAATGTTAGCACCGCCACCTGTTGATCGGTAGAATACAGTGCAGCTAAGCCCACATGCAGTGCATGTAACAAAACCAGGACCCACCCTTAATGTCAATGCTCTATAGCTTTACTCCTGGTCGAATGGTACCTGCAGTTTTGTTTATCTGCAGAAATGATTTAGGTTCAAATGAAATTTGTGGTGATAACCGATTTACTGTACTGATTATTAGTAATTAGCCTAGGCCACATCTCACTGAACTGCTGTAGGTTTTGTCTGTGGCATGTTCTTCAGATGTAGACACTCAAGCTATAGAGAAAAATGTCAGCTATGTATATGTTGCCAATTTAATATCTAACTATCATTTTCATGTTTGCAGAGAACCGTGTGTGCTACACAGAAATATTAGGTTAACAATAACCATAGGATCACTAACAGAGTTCTTTATAAATGTCCATGAACTGTGATCCCTACTAGGCCATACTGAAGTCAAAGCATTAGTAGTGGTGTTATCATTTCTAACTACTACAAAACGTATTTTGAATTTGATATCAACAGGACGTCTTTGAGGCCCGATATCTGAAGGTTCCCGAAGGAGTAGATGTTTGTCCCATACCTCGTCAGCAACTCGACAAAGGAAAGGCAGAGCGAGTTGGAAGTGTGTCAACATCAGCCAGCTCTGAAAGCGACAGCTCCTCAGAGGCAGAGAGTTCCTCAGGAGAGGTGTCGGTTCAGCTGGCCAATCTAGAGGAGCAGGTTGGTAGAAACATGCCAGTAACCGAGCAAATGGCTTTTTCACAAGTTCTTCACTTCAGTGCATTTCACCTTATTGGCTCATTAATGGCTGGCTTTTCAGTTGGAAGCTGTCCGCGATGAGCTGAAGAGACTTGCCCAAGAGCCTGTGATGAAACATAAGAAGAAAGCAAAGTTGAAAAAAGAAAAAAAAGCTAAAGAAAAGGATATCGCTAGATTAAAGCACATATCCTCGAAATACAAATCTATGGTAGAAAAACTGGCCAACCGCAAAAGCTCTACTTTGTAAGTGAACCCACTTTTATATTATCTTTTATACTTTGAACAAGACATTTTGAAGTAAGTTTTTTTTAAAACAGATGCTGAGTTAACATTAGATGCTTTTGTATATATGTCTAGGCACGGCAACAGACACAATATTCATGGGGTACCTTTAACGTGTGAGGATGAGGTCCCATCAATTCCAGTGACTTACCAGGAGAAGAGGCAGCTGAAATCGGACGTCGACAAGCTGCCTGGTGACAAACTGGGCAAGTTGGTGAAGATCATCCATGCCAGGGAGAACTGCCTGCAAGACTCTTCTCTGGAGGAGATTGAAGTTGACTTTGAAATGCTCAAGCCTTCCACGCTGAGGGCCCTGCAGAGGTTTGTTGCAGCGTGTCTGAGGAAGGTCAACAAGAAAGCTTGTAGTAAGTCCTTGCTTAAGCTTTCCTATTTCAGCAAATATACCTCTTCTTTTTACAGAATCTGTTTAATTATGGAATGCTTAATGACGATGGAGGGTTATTATGTCTTCCTCCTGCAGAAACGAAGCTGGTCACAGGAGGAATGCAGAGCGGGAAACTAAAGAATGCCTGTACATCTCAGGTTGCCAGTAAAGAGCAGCACTTCATTAAGAATAAACAGCAACCGCGTAAGATCTGGATTTGATTAACAATGTGATGCCCCCTTTACAGCTTGCACTTACATGCTATTTGGGTGATTGGATTGCAATTGGATAGGGTTTGACCACATGGGAGTACAGGTGTAAATGCACTCAAGATATGACTCGCAAATCTACGTGCCCCTGAAAATAAATGACCCAAACCCTCTGCAACGTCTGTCTGACTGTCTGCAGGACATCAGAGCCTGGATGGCCTTGAACTTTTTTAAATTCAATGAATAAAAGACCTAGGTGATACTGTTTGGACCCACTGGTGGCCCCAATGCCCCGCCTGTGCTGGATTCTCTTGTCCCATATGTGAAACCCATTGTCACAAACCTGGGTGTACGGATTGATCGTGATTTGAAACTAGACGAACAGATCAAATCTGTGGTAAAATCCAGCTTTTTTCAGCTAAGAATTTTAGTAAAGGTCAAGCCTTTCCTTTCTTTGAATGGCTTTGTTTTATAATAAAATGTTATTGTTTGCATACAAAGCCCTAAACGGTTTAGCCCCACCGTACCTGGCAGATCTTTTAAAACCATACACGTCCCACACGCTCACTGAGGTCTGCTGACAGACTCCTTCTGGCAGTCCCTAAATCAAGGTTAAAGCAGCGAGGAGACAGAGCCTTTACTGTTGTAGCTCCAACATTATGGAACTAATTGCCCTTCCAGGTTAGACTTGCTTCAACTCTGCCTGTTTTTAAATCTCGTTTAAAACCCCACTTCTTTTCCCTTGCATTTACAGACCAGGTATGACAATACATTTAGCTGACGCTTTTATCCAAAGGGACTTACAATAAGTGCGTTCGACCAACAAGATACAAACTTGAAGAAAACAGAATCATATAAGTACATCAGGTTTCATAGAGCCAAACATTTCAAGTGCTACTCAACTGGCTTTAGATAAGCCAGTCCTTTATTAGTATAAAGTGCTTTGTTAATAGTTCTATCGCTCGAAGTGGAGTCGAAAGAGATGAGTTTTCAGTCTGCGCCGGAAGGTGTGTAAGCTATCTGCTGTCCTGATGTCAATGGGGAGCTCATTCCACCATCTTGGAGCCAGGACAGCAAACCCACGTGTTTTTGCTGTTGGGAACTTGGGTCCCCTTCGCAGCGAGGGTGCAGCGAGCCGTTTGGCTGATGCAGAGCGTAGTGCACGTGCTGGGGTGTACGGTTGACACTTGTACTTTTACATTTTGGTTTTTATCTTACTAGTGTTTTGTATTGTTTTTACGTCATGTAGGAGAGTTTCTCAGTCTGTGGCTTTTGATCTGGTTTCATCGTCTCGTGTTTTACATTTGTTTCATGTCCTGTCTGTTTATGTATTTGCGCTATGTTTTTATACAGTTGTTGATGTACAGCACTTTGTTCAACTCTGTTGTTTTTAAATGTGCTATAGAAATAAAGTGGATTGGATTTGAAAATGCATTGAGGGCAGATTACGATCCAATAACAGTGATTTTATTATACATACAACAACTAGGTGGGCCAAAATGCTTAATCACATGCAACTATTCCAAAAAATCAAGGAGGCAGCCAGTTCTCAAGCTAAGCTACTAGTAAGAAAGCAATTGATAATCAAGATGCTCGTGGTTAGAGACAAACACTCACAGTACATTTAGTACCAGACTGCTGGTGAACTCTGCATCAACAGGACAACAACGTGTCCATCAGGCAGAAGAGTGGAGCACGTGAAGGGAAGTTGTTAGAGCTTGAGGCAGCTATAGGATTCAAAATGTACTTACTGGTTACGCATGTTAATATAAATAGGTACAATCATGAAATCTGAAGATGAGATTAATTGAAATTCAAGTTGTAAAGGGGGTCTAATTGTGCATCCACACGGAGAGTGCAAATTAAACCTTTACCTTATTTTTCGTTAACAGCTAAAGTCATGGCAGTGCCTGACCCCGGCTGGCTCCCACGCCTCAGTGCGAGCAGCAGCTCAGGCAGCAGCAGCAGTGATTCCAGCTCTAACAGTGATGGCAGTGTCCTCGATACAGGTAAGCTGCCCCCCCCCATCTGTTAGAATTGTTCTCCTCTCTCCACTGATGAAATAAGAGCCATGGGAATAATTCAACTGGGTGCCTTTCCAACCCTTATTATGGTTCCACACCAAATATGATACTTCCTTTTTTGCCATTTTTGTTTAATTTATACACACACTTAAATAATCTTTCCACACGAAAGAGGTGCACATGTCAGTCCCAATGACATCTGAGAGTATTGTGGTCAAATATTATATATATATATTTTTTAACTGGACTATAAGTGGTATATGTTGAGGCAATGTAAATCAGGACATCTACACCTAAGCAAGTGAAACGTTTTGAATCCGTTTTTGATAGAGTATTGTTCGGGGTGTTATGCCTGACACTGCCGACTGAATTATTGATGTGCATGTCTTTCAGTGCCAAAAACAAAGAAGCAGAAAAGTAAAGACTCTTGCCAAAAGGTTAAGACGGAGGTAAATACATTCAGCATTTGCTTACTGTAATCAAATGATTAACTGCAAGATCTACAATTAAAAAAAGTAAGGATGTTGTTTCTTCTTAACTCACAGGTAACTCGTACTGCCTGTGGCAAGCAGTTATCGCTGATGAAAGATTTGACAAAAGCCTCTTTGAAGACCTGCCAGCCTCCTCGTGCTGGGCAGTCCGCCAAAGCAGAAACCAAAGGCCACCCAACATACAATAATAAAGATTGGACCTTTGACAAGATGACTTTATCACCTCCAGGTACTGTTCACATCTCTCCTCTTTGTCCCTCAACTAAGAGGAAATTAAGATTTTTCCAAAAAAGTCAAGTTTTCTATTTACATTTTGTGATTTTCCTTCGAAGTCTTTGGCATGTATAAACTGTCATCCTATGCTTTATACTGAATAGTTCAAATGTATATAGTTGTCTCTATATTGGGCTAAAGTGAAAACATTTTTCAAGGGTCCCCATACTGTTCATTTTCAGGTTTCATATCAGTATGTAGTGTCTCTACTGGGACATGTCTCCATGCTTTAATGTTCAAAAAGCTCTTTATTGTTCTCATACTGCCTGTGCTGCAGCACCTCTTTTCACCCTCTGTCTGAAATCAGAGCCCAGTCTGCTCTGATTGGTTAGCTGGCCGGCTCTGTTGTGATTGGTCAACCGCTTAGAGATGTCCCGCCCCTTAGCCTATCACGTAAAATGTGAGATATTAGCCTTTGCAGACCATTAACATTCACAAAAACCTATATAACACACTGCAGGAAAGAGAAGACCACAAAAAGCATAATATGGCCCATCTAAATATATGAACTTACATTAACGCTGTTTTGTTTTTTTGTCTCGGTCTGGCTGAAACATTGTTGGGTGATCATATGTTAGGTAGGGCTGTACCCGAATATTCGTTCGTTGGGGTACTATTCGGGTTTCAATTTCGTTATTCGGATATTCATTTTTATTTATTGAAATCTCCAATATCAACGTAAGAGCTTGTGCCTCTTCGGCTGGTGCTAACACTTAACCATAAACGCTATTGTTTACTTTCTCCGTCTTTATATGTAGATATTACTTTTCTCCGTTAATCTCCGTCACGTTGTTTCCATAGCAACAACAACTTCCTGTCAACAGCGCTAACTCTCCTTCAAAATAAAGTCCATACAAAATAGGAAGCCAAGCCAAATTACACTTAAGACATATACAACTGCAACGAAAGTAACAAACACAATGCGATATCCTTTTCAATTTCAAAGAACACAAATTGGGTTGTATACATTAACAAATAACTATAAAACAACAATACTGTAGAATAACAAAATGAATGCTGTGAATAAACCGAAATACTCGTGTTGAAGAGAACTGCTACCCGGGAAACAGGATGCAACGCGTCATCTGTGAAGCTCCGCCCACATTGAGCTCATTGAGGCATTGCACACTGCATTGAGGGGCTTCTCGAATATTCGGGACAGCCCGTTGTGTTGGTGCGTTTATGTGTTTGTCTTTCTGCAGCTCATCTCACATACTTCTCTACATCAGCTCAATATTGTTTATGCTCATTAATGACTTCATGCTCAAAGACCTCTTAATTGAGATTCTTGACTTTTGATAAAAGCTATTTTAATTGAGTGTTTTAAACCAAACAACAGGGCAGAGAGTGCACTCTACCCTCTCGTTCTTTCTCAGCCTTCAGTAGGAGACCCTCTCAGCGCCTTCTGATACCTACTGCCACATCAGCAAGAACACCTCTCCCTGTACTCGCAGATCAGCTTTGTCAGTAAATACCTCATTGGAATGTCTTATTCCTCCCTCAGTAATATGGCTCCACATCTCAGACTCCCTGTTCTCCTTTTAATTGTCCCATATGCTTAGTGTCATCCGGAGACAGACATTTGGAAAGTTTGACTTGGCTCCCTTACTGTGGCTTAATTCTAATAGTGCTGAGGAGGAAATAAGGGAACAAATCACCGCCCTTATGTTAGGCCTGCCCTTGACCAAAGATGTTCCTAGTCGACCAGTAGCCGCAGTTCAAGCACTGAGTGTTTTAGCTTCACAAAATGGTTTCAGTTACAGGGCTGAGAAACAGTATAATAAGTACACATCAACATCATGGTTCATGTATAAAACATATTATATATAAAGTGTAATAAAGAGCCTAAGCCCATATGGACCGCAAGAAAATAACACATTTGTTTCACAACACGTGTAACAAAATTAAAATGTTGCCTAGGTTCATTATATATGAAGATCTATATTTATTTTGATAAGGCTCGGCTACCGCCTGACTCACTGTCACTGCAGCTTCATTCCTCTAATCCTAGACTTCTCATATAATGAGGAGAGAGCATATATGTGTCCACGTTGTCAGAGAGAAGTGTCTCTGTGTCTTGCTCATCGAATTTGTGTTTCGGCTCATATGTTGTATCGTTTTTTTCCTACCATGCCAGGCACATTTTTTCCTGTAGAGTTTGCATGTCACCTTCTCGGGGCCTTCCTCTACAACACAAATGATCTAACACTTAGGATTTCCTGCTCAACATAATTGACTCAATGACCAGGCACAACTCCTGAAAGAAGTGTGAGGGGTTTTCCTGTAGACACGACAAAGCACAGCCCCCAGATGGAGTTTATTTTTCTTTTCTTTATGCAACTAATAGACTAATGAAAATTGCTCTCGCCGAAGACTTGTTTTTAGCTGACCAACGTTTGGTGTACTATTAGGGGACGGCCCTTCCTTATTAAATTCAATCTCATGCTGCTTCTTCCTGCATTCAGTTGCTTTGACTGTAGCTCTTGTGATAGTCTGTATAAACACAGAGAGGTATTAACACACGGTTGTAATGTGTTTAGGTTTATATCTGTCCTTTTCTGTTTGACAGATTTGTCTGCCCTCTTATCTCCCATGGCGTCTCCAGGAGTGTTGCTGGACTGGACTGCAGCCAGATTTGAGGTACGTCTAAAGATACGACAACACTTCACAACGACTGCTGGCTTAATTGATCAAGTAAAAAAACGTTTACAAATATCTTGTTACACACACTACTTATTATTAGTATTATTAGTATTAAAGGTCTCCTATTATACTATTTGTAGGCATATATTATAGTTCTCAGATATATATAAAAAACATGTCTATGAAGTGTTTTGCTCAAAATACCAAACAGAACATGCATTTTAGACATCCCTCATACCCCTCTATTTCAGCCCTGTTAGAGAAGTGCTGATTCTGGGTCCGTAGCTGGAAAAAAAGAAACATTTGAATAAAAGAGGGGGGGGAGCTTATGCCTTCTCATGCAGGAGAATTCTAACCAGATACTCAGCTAAATGCTGCCGTGATTAAACACCATATCATGTTCCAAACCACATCAAGGATTATTTCTGAAACGGTATGGAGCTCAAATGCTTTTTCTCTTGCGGGTTTACCACAAGGTGAGTTCCTTTTTTAAATGTCCTTACACATACTCTCCAGTACGGCGTTAGCTCTGAGTGTTAGCAATGCTTGCTAATGTGAACAAAGACCATATTGCGTCCGAAACACGTCGCGCATTGTTTCTGATAGCAACGTTTCTGATAGGGCCGTGGGCGTAAAGCCAGCCCACATTTCTGATATTACGTCATATCGGCAGCAAATCTGGATCAGCTCCGTTGTAGCCCCGTTTTTAAAGATTTGGGTACGGAGGAAAAGAGAGAGGGTTTTGTTTTCTGACACTTAGTGAGTTCCCTGACACACCAGGGACACATATTGATGTATAAAAGACATACAGAAGTGCATTTTGCATGATAGGAGACCTTAAGTAAAATTTAAAATGACCTTTATTTCAAATGGATCTTCCAAATCACTTAACGCACGTAACTGTCGTTTCAGGTTTTTGGTAGATTTGTATTGGCTGCCTTGCTGTTAAGCATTAAGGACCGTAAAGATGTTTTATTTACAAACTGAATCTCTTCTTTCAGCCCGGCCCAGTGCTGTCCCCTCTGGCAGCCAGTCCGCTGCATCCCAGGGAGGACACCAGGTCCAGTAAGTCACTAGGAGACCCTTACTCTGAGCCCACCATGTTTAATAGACATAGTAATCCTTTTTTTACATGATTATTGCAGATTTCAGATACGCTGAGGATTTGCCTGCTCAGCTGATTAATGTGCCTTACACCAACACAGCAAGTAAATCTGCTGAAGAGGGGAAAAAAGAAATTCCCCAAAAGGTTAGCATTGTTTGTTTCCCTCAACTGTAGAAAAAACTATTTAAAATATTTAAGTAACAAGACGTGCTGATTTATGATTATTATCTTTTTTTATGTTAAGTTAACCAAGTAGTTTTGTTTCAATTCATAATGTTATCCATGTGTTTAAAACTAAACGTTCTGCAATGTGCGAGCAGGTGCTGGAACTTTACCTGGGTGTGAAACATATTTCCTGTGATCATTGATAATGGCCATGTTGAATGGGATGATAACATTCCAAACTTGGTGATTTCTTTTGTTCAGGACATTGTTCTGAAAAATGCTGAGTCATGGGCAAAACTGGTGAGGCAGTCAATAACTGCAACTGCTATCAAGTCATCCAAGGAGAGCTTCAAACAGTTCCGTAAGGTCGCTCAAAAAAAGGAAGAACTTGAAAAAGCCCTGAAGAAGAAACAGACGGAAGACAACAAGGAGAGGGAGGCTCCTGAGAAGAGCAGGTATTTAGAGAATGCATTAGATTTGTCTCTACATTTTTTCTTTACTAGAAAAATAATTCCACTTCGACAAACTTTGAAAGAGTCCAAGACTACATTTCTAACATAATTGTCAGCAAAGCATCCAAACCCTTTTTTCTTTTTTTAAAGCAGTATTTGAAAGAAAGCTTGGTAGTTGAGTCAAAGATCTATAGTTTTAATAACAAGGACATTCTCCTTCTAGCTTACCAGGCCCTTGTGAAGCAGACACTAATCTACAGCCTATTGGGGAGGATCCTGAATCACCCGAGAGCGTTTGTAGAGAAACTCTAGACGCTATTAAGGATGTTGAGCTGCAAAAGTCTCCTGTGGAAACACAACCTCTAAGCACACAGTCCACGGTGGATATGAGGAGAGAGATGGCCCGCAGGAAGGAGCAAGAACGACGCAGGCGAGAGGCTGTGAGTTTCCTCATTCCTCTTTCAGTGTCATTGAGTTGTAAAAATGGCATTTGTTATGCATTTAAATGTCATTTCTGTGGATTGTTTTTCTTTACAGATGTCTGGTATAGACATGTCTCTGCAGCGGGACATCATGACTTCATTTGAGCTCGCCCTGGACTAAAGAAACTACTTGGAAAAGATATCCCTCTGTGCCAAACTGAGCATCGTCTCAGTGAATAACTCGAGCTGCTGCTTCTAGAATAGACAAAAAGAGTTATTGTGGAAAAAAAACATTGAACAAATATAAATGGGCCCTGAAATGTTGCACTGACACACTGCACTGTTGGATTTGAGAGGATTGGGGTGAGGCACGGTCAAACCTAAAGCTGATCTTTTGTGCAAGTGTATCTGTTCTTTTCTCCTTTGTGTGAAAGTTGTGTATGACAAGCTATTTCGTGCATATACTGTAGTTGAATCGTCACATTGTCTTGTTTGCTGAGAAATGGCAGTGTTGTTAAGTTATGTTTGTTAAATGATCCCATCTGATCAACCACCATCTTTCACTTCATCCTGACCGAACACTGTTATATGTTGATGTTACATGCACACGTGACTTTATTTCCTTGCACAAAAGTACATTTTGACCCAAGGTTGGTAGGTCCTTGTCAATGTTTCCAATGTGGAATAGAAGTTAATAATCTCAGTTCCTTCGCTGTACTACTTGAAAATGCCATATATTGTGTTAACCGAACCACACACTGCACTTTATTGTTCATACAGTTCTCACTGTTCCAAAGCTGCTTTTGGAGATTATCGACATGTTCTATATGTTACAGTTTGTATAAGCTAAATAAACAAGAAATAATTTCTTCTTTTTTTGGATCAAAGTAATAAAGTTATTTTCACTAAGCAATCTGCATCACTTCATCAGTACTTCTACTTATACTGGCAGTGCAGAGCGGACCACAGCGCCTCATCTGAGGCTCGTCTCCCCTCAGCACCAAGCTGGGGTGCTGCGATATTATGGCAATTAACTGCAATAATACAAATGTATATACAAATATCCATCCATCTTCTCCCGCTTATCCGTGGTCGGGTCGCGGGGGTAGCAGTTCCAGCAGAGAGCCCCACACTTTCTTTTCCCTGGCCACATCAACCAGCTCTGACTGGGGGATCCCAAGGCGCTCCCAGGCCAGCGAAGAGATATAATCCCTCCACCTGGTCCTAGGTCTACCCCTTGGTCTCTTCCCAGCTGGACGTGCCTGGAACACCTCCCTAGGGAGGCGCCCAGGTGGCATCCTAACTAGGTGCCCGAACCACCTCAACTGGCCCCTTTCGACGCGAAGGAGGAGCGGTTCAACTCCGAGTCCCTCCCGGATGACCGAACTTCTCACCTTATCCCTAAGGGAGACACCAGCCACCCTGCGGAGAAAACCCATCTCGACCGCTTGTATCCGCGATCTCGTTATTTCGGTCATGACCCATCCTTCATGACCATAGGTGAAGGTAGGAACGAAAATGGCCCGGTAGACAGAGATCTTTGCCTTCTGGCTCAGCTCCCTTTTCGTCACAACGGTGCGGTAAAGCGACTGCAGTACCGCTCCCGCTGCTCCGATTCTCCGGCCGATCTCACTCTCATTGTTCCCTCACTCGAGAACAAGACCCCGAGATACTTGAACTCCTTCACTTGGGGTAAGGACTCATTCCCTACTTGGAGTGGACAGTCCATCGGTTTCCTGCTGAGAACCATGGCCTCAGATTTGGAGGTGCTGATCCTCATCCCTGCCGCTTCACACTTGGTTGCGAACCGATCCAGTGAGTGCTGAAGGTCGCAGACCGATGAAGCCATTAGAACCACATAATCTGCAAAAAGCAGTGGTGCAATCCTTAGTCCACCGAACTGCAGACCCCCTCCCCCATGACTACGCCTCGAAATCTGATCCATGTATATTACAAACAGGATCTGACAAAGCGCAGCCCTGGCGGAGGCCAACCCTCAGCGGAAATGGGTCCGACTTACTGCCGAGTACCCGGACACAGCTCTCGCTTTGGGAGTACAGAGATTGGATGGCCCTGAGTAGAGACCCCCTCACCCCATACTCCCGGTAGCACCTCCCACAGTAACTCCCTGGGAACTCTGTCATACGCCTTCTCCAAGTCTACAAAACACATGTAGACCGGATCAACACATCCTCACTCCCAGGTCGGCCTATGTTGACGTTATGTCAAGTCCCCTGTCGGCTTTTTCCAACGCAAGGGGGGGGCCTTAGCGTCCATTTTCAACGCAAGGGGGGGGGCCCCCCCTTAGCGTCCATTTTCAGCTTTCCGGGATGTCCATATGCTTCTATGGACGCTCATGGAAGCACGGCATTCGTTTGTGTCGGCTGCCCTTAAAGGCAATGTGAGCGTCCATTCTCATTGGATAACGGAGAATTGTACACCCGGAAGTAAGTATTCCCCTTACTGTCGATTGATTTTACAGTGATATCTGCACTACTCATCGACTAAAAAACACCAGATTATCCTTGTTAATTACACAACATTGATTGGTTTAAATTGTGTGCAATGCTTTTGTATTTTTCCCCTTCGATTTGGAGAAACAAATGTTTTTTCGGAGTAAAGGATGGCAGAAGACACTACACTACCCAGAATCCCCAGCTATCGTTTGGACTACACCATGTGCTCTGTTTGACGTCACGTGATCTTCAAATTTCTCCCTGAAGAAAAAAAAAACATGGCCGAACTTCGTTTTATTCTCGATGGAAAATGCCTATTTTAAAGTTAGTTTGGCCATTAAAATGCGTTTTGATGTCATTTGATGCGAGAAATATGAGTTGTTATTTCAGATTATGTGTGCAGTGGATGTACATGATCTTTAGTTTGCTAGTTATTACGAAGATTACTTCAGGAAATTGCGTCCATAACGTTTTAATTGTTACCAAGGTGGTTGCTAGGGACGCTGCTATCGATATTATTTCTGTTATGTTGTGTAACTGTTTAATGGTGTTATCTTTATTGCTACCCCCTTCCCCGTCAATGTATAGTGTTGGTCCACAGCGCAAACATATTAGTTTAACAAAATCCGCATCTAAAGATAGCCTACGTTATTTTCCCCTGTGCAATTCCAGTCTCACATCTCACAGCACATCGTCATTAACAAATAACGGAAACAGACCGAAAACATTTTAAAAAAAATACAATAATACTTTATTCCGAGTGTGCTTGCTTTTCTCTTTGGAAGTCATCACATAACGGCATTGTAATACACGGTTCGGCTGCATTAAATATTACATATCTGCCGTAGTTCTGTATTTATAGAGCCCTGATGAGAAGACTTCTAGACAAACATGAGGAACTGAAAACGTGACGTGGATCATAAATATATCAGCAGTTAAACAACATCTTACATTTCTTTTCACACAATACGTCTCCTTGCAGTATCAACACTAATTCGGCTGACTTTTATATTTGATCCAATTGGTAGATAGGCTGTATTTACACCATAAAGGTGCACAGCTGATATAAAGCGACACCTAGTGGTTAAAGCATGTTATTGAATTTCATTATTTTTATTATTAGATATTAATAGGATCCCTATAAAGTATATTCATTACTCGTTATTCTCTACTAATAGTTAATTAAAGACTGTATATAATTACTATTTTGCACATCCCTTTCAAGATTTCAAGATTTTCTAAGGTTTATTGACATATATAGGCCTACACAACTATGGTGTAGTTATGCATTGAATGAAAAACTTGGGTCGCAGGTTCCTCAATAGCGCATTACAAGACATCTATCAATATTTGTGCGTACCTCCAGCAATGTTAACTATGTTGAAGCACTTATTTTAACTGATATTATACATAATGTATTATACTCTTATAAGATGTATGTAGATATTTCATCTCTGACCTTGTCAGGTATTGAACAATCAATACATAAAGAACACAGAATTGTTGAATATAAAACACAGAATTTGTGTGATTATACTAAATGATTTACAAATAAACACCACTGCATATTTAACTGTTACACATGCTGATGTAACGCAAATGTTCCAACTTGAGATCAATAAAGTATATCTTATCTTAAGCTGATCGATGGCTACTGCCATATTTGCAAAACTTGCCTCTGAACCTTAACAAGTGCATGTTTCAGGCTTATCAATTCATGTAATGTAATGTTATCAATTAACAACAGGGGTCACAAACATAAGACCAGCTGTTAAATAAAGCTCTTCTGACCTTAGCTGGCATGTGTGTATATATATTAATGCTGCCCATTATGGGCACAAGCAATTTTCACCCATTTATTAATTATATGTTTTAAATGTGAGTGTTTCCTATCCCCTAAACCTCCAGGGATGTACACAGTTTAATACTGGCAACTTATTATGGGAAATACGAAAACGTCTTTTAAAACTACAACTCCCAGTAGAGACGTGCCATATATACAGAACATGTTGCGAAACAGAATAGCCAGCATTTGTAGTTCTGGGGACAGGGTGGGGGAGGGGGGGACGCGGTGGACCCGTTCAAATCCAGTTTTGGACAGTCTGCCGTGCATGGTTCCATCCCATTTCAAGTGCTGTTCGAGGCTCGGGTAACCCTCGGAGCACACTCTCCAATCACAGAGCTTGAGGACTATCACGGGGTTTGTCAAACAGAGCACATGGTGTAGTCCAAACGATAGCTGGGGATTCTGGGTAGTGTAGTGTCTTCTGCCATCCTTTACTCCGAAAAAAACATTTGTTTCTCCGAATCGAAGGGGAAAAATACAAAAGCATTGCACACAATTTAAACCAATCAATGTTGTGTAATTAACAAGGATAATCTGGTGTTTTTTTAGTCGATGAGTAGTGCAGATATCACTGTAAAATCAATCGACAGTAAGGGGAATACTTACTTCCGGGTGTACAATTATCCGTTATCCAATGAGAATGGACGCTCACATTGCCTTTAAGGGCAGTCGACACAAACGAACGCCGTGCTTCCATGAGCGTCCATAGAAGCATATGGACATCCCGGAAAGCTGAAAATGGACGCTAAGGGCCCCCCCCTTGCGTTGAAAATGGACGCTAAGGCCCCCCCCTTGCGTTGAAAAAATCCGACAGGGGACTTGACATAACGTCAACATAGGCCGACCTGGGAGTGAGGATGTGTTGACCGGATAAGCGTACTCCCAGGCCCCCTCCAGGATCCTTGCGAGAGTAAAAAGCTGATCCGTCGTTCCACGACCAGGACGGAATATACAAATATCGATATGTAAATAATGCACTTAATATTGTTTAAGTAAGCTAGAACCTCTTGGATCATTTTCGCATCTTTGTAATTGTTTTTGTTATGTACGTTCCAACCGTAATGGTTACAGACTGTTCTCTTCCATCGCATTTTGAGTGCAATTCCTTCCCCCCCCCCCCAAACCAATTTGACTGATAGCATGTCTTTCAAATTATTTTTTGATTTTACAATAATATAATGCTTTGGCAAATATTTTTGGATTGTGTGTAATGCTGTGGTTCTTTCCTGCAGGATGGATTTATCTTTAATATTTCCATATGTATTTATATTCCAAATAATATTAAAGACCCTATCATTTAAAATGTTGGCCTTGGCGGTAGTGGTAGTGTCTAGCTAAATCCCTTTATCTTTACCTGTCATTTATTTGAATGATGTTGATAATTAAAGTCAAACAAATTGATGCTACAGTAGAAATAATAAAGCTTTCCTTTTGGTGAATTATTTAAGTAATGTCATTCATTATTCATGAACGCCTCATCTGGTCCTCTTCCGGGCTCCATATTTCAGCTCTAAGAAGGACAATGGTCTCAATCTGTTATCCAGTCACGTGAGGGGCTCATCTGAAACACGTTAATTGCTTCATCTCGCGTGTCATTCGCTCTCGAGCTGTGTTTCCCAACCATTGACCCGCTGGGCTGGTTAACAGCGGCTGATAAAAGCGCACCTGCACCGCATCACGGCTCATTATAATATTAATGAGCTGCCCGAAAAACACCAGTATAGCCAGCTAATTAAATCAATTGTTGGCCGTTAATTTTTCTGAAAGTGGTGGGTGTGACAATTGAAATTAACTCGAAATAGTTCATGTATTAAAAGCAGGTGCCTTATAGGCTATTTGACATGCAGTGTTGTTGCCATAACAGCGGCTGGAGCCCGGTGCTCTGCGGTGATGCTCCGCTCTCCCCGCCTCTCTCATCTCCGCAGAGCTCCGCACAGAGCGGCTCACCGCCTCATTTCGGGCTCGCCTTGTATAGTCAACAGCACCGTCTCATCTCCTACTGAAACAACCCACTGCTGTCACACGCACGCGTGAAATATGACGTGATGCTGTTGCCACCGTCCCATTCAGCCGTGTGTCGGGATCCTCCCTTCAGACAGTCGTGCGTATGCGCTGCTGGGAACGACATTGTGCAGAGCGGTGTTTAAGCAGAAAGCGAGCTGTTAACAGAGACAAATCAATAGCTAACTCAATCCCGATTGATTTTCCTGCGGCAATGTAAAGATGGCGAGAGTGCTCCAGTACTTGCTGTTAATTCTGATGAGTCTCGCGCTGAGAATCAGAGTTGTGGGCTACTGGTCGCTGATCTACGGTTATTGTGCGCTTTGCACCATCGTAGCCCTGCTGAAACTTTGCTGGAACATCATCCTGAGGCCGACTGCCACCTTCCAATGGGGGGTCCGTGAGACTCCCCCGGCTTGTCTGAATGACACGTCCTTGGGAACCCACTGCTATGTTCGGATCAAGGTAAGACATGAGTGTGTGGGGAGGGGAAGCCCATTGTGTGTGTGTGTGTGTGTGTGTGTGTGTGTGTGTGTGTGTGTGTGTGTGTGTGTGTGTGTGTGTGTGTGTGTGTGTGTGTGTGTGTGTGTGTGTGTGTGTGTGTGTGTGTGTGTGTGTGTGTGTGTGTGTGTGTGTGTGTGTGTGTGTGTGTGTGTGTGTGTGTGTGTGTGTGTGTGTGTGTGTGTGTGTGTGTGTGTGTGTGTGTGTGTGTGTGTGTGTGTGTGTGTGTGTGTGTGTGTGTGTGTTGCATGCTATAGATGGTGTTAAATGTTACCTTGCCTGCGTGTCGCGTCGTGCACACAGGCCTGATCTCAGAGCAGATCACCACTGTTGGTCCTTCAGACGTGGTTCCGCTGCTCTGGTCTCAGGTGGTGCTGAAGGGACAGCTCCTCTCGGCTCCACAAGCAGAGGCTGCCTGCCAGCCCCCAACAACCTTGGTGTTCAACATTATGTCATGAAATACCTAGGCATGCCTTTCAGTCATGGACAGTAACATTTACCCAGGCATTGTGCCATTTGAGGCACTATGGAGCTATTTCAGGGTCATACGTTTTGATCATTCAAAAAAATACAATTTATTTGAAAGTTCAAGTTTTTATCCTGAACTTTGAAAAATACAATGATGTATTCAAAATAAAAACAAGTATTTTAAATCATTTTTCAGGTTGAGTATTACTTTGATTCAGTTCAGCAATTTTTTTGAATAAAATATTTATTTTCAGATTTCACTTTTATACATATTTAGATATTTAAATCCTTATTTTTTTCAGTTGCAGATTTTTCGTTTTCAGATTCAAAACAATTATTTTTTCAGTTTCAAATCTTGTTTTTTCAGGTTTCACATTGCTTTTCACCTTCAGATCGTTTGAGAGCTGTGAATACATTAAATACAAGGCATTTTTAGGGACTCCCAAGTTTATACATCAGTATGAGAATAATAAATAAGCTTAATTGCAGCCAGCTATAGTTAAAAGCATGCATGTTATACACATGTACTCTAATGTAACAACTAGAGAGCCCATTGGCAAATTAAGTAATTTTGTAATGTTACATTTAAAGTAGCCTTGGTTTTCTGGAGTATGCTTAAATTCATTTACAGAATTAAAATTTTAAATACAGGATTTTACTTAAAAATTGTAGCTATTACAGTGCATCATATCTAATAAACTCGTCATATAAGAAGAACAAATTAACAGAAAATGTAAAAAATATGTATTAAAGTATTCAAACTCCTAATAGGAAAGCTTGTTGACTAAATGTAGCCTACTTAATACATCTTTGGTGTTATTTTGACAAAGCAGCCACAAGCAGCCACTCTCCTTAAAGTCTTCTGAGTAGTTATGTTGTGTCTCTGAGTGGCTGTGGATAAAAGCCTGTCTTCTCTTCACCAGGAGTCGGGCCTGAGGTTCCACTATGTGGCTGCTGGAGAGCGTGGAAAGCCACTCATGCTGTTCTTACACGGATTCCCTGAGTTCTGGTAGGTCAAATGGAAATCAGGGTTTGGGGGCATAGCAGCTGCACTTCAGCAAACAGCAGAGTACAGCCACCACTGTACCATGTTTGTGTTTGTTCCCTCTGTCACCGCTCTAAAATGTCCCCTGAGAATGAGCATTCTTTAGCTTTATACCATTAAGGCTACTATTACATCTCTGTGCTCTTCCTCCGGGGCTGCAGAGACAATTCCACACAATGCACGAGGAGTCCTCAATCACAGACACGATTTGCCGTCGGGGGAAAAAAGTCCAAAGCATTCAAGATCTCCTCCTCCTGATATGAAATGAAAAAGTGGTGCTGAGCAGCGCTCCTGGATTGGGGCCAAAGAGGTTGTCACAAACTATAAGCCGTCCATATCTCTAACATACTATCAGCTGCTGACAGGACGGGGATTCACTCACGCAAGAGGGGAGCGTTTTCTGCTTCCGTTTACTTCACTGTGCTCAGTGACACGGATGGAGAGAACTCTTTAGCGCTCTCAGAAATTAGAAGAGTAGCATGTGTGGGAGACTGTGGCTCAGTGAATAGTGTGCTCAACTTGGAATCAGGGGGTAGCAAGTTTGAGTCCCACTGCAGTCAGCATGTCGTTGTATCCCTGGGCAAGACACTTGACCTATGACCCCAAATTGCTCCTGTGGGGATTGCCCACAGTATCAAATCAAATCAAGTTTTATTTATATAGCACATTTATAAACGATTTTTGGTCGAGCCAAAGTGCTGTACATATAATAAAATTAGCCTACAGTAGAGACACTTTACAGCAAATACAACAGCACAGATTGTTCAGAATATCAGTATGAGAAAAACGACACCCTCTATCCTTAGACCCTCACATTGTACAAGGAAAAACTTCCAGTGAAAACCCACAGTTTAAAGGGAACATGGGAGAAACCTCAGGGAGAGCAACAGAGGAGGGATCCCTCTCCCAGGACGGACAGACGTGCAATAGATGCCGTGTGTAAATCCAAGAGATAATACATTTTACAGCATATAGACCGAATGTTAGGAAATGCCTGTGTCTGTAATAAGAAGATGAATCCACGAGGATGTCAGCTACAATCCTGTGGAAGCCATCAGAGAAGCAGCATGGCGAGACCCAAGGCAGGACCGCAGAGACAGGTTCAGCCACGACCCGAAGTCCACGACTTAATCCAGAACTCGGGATAGAGGATCCAAGACACAGGACTACAGCAAGAGGATCAGCCTCGACTCCGGATCCCGGCGTAGATATAGATACAAAACAGTATTGAATGTATGTAAGTCGTTTGGATAAAAGCGTCTAACAAGTGACATGTCGTGTCAGAGGAATGCTTTCTTTGCTCTAAACCTCATCTGAGATCTGAGAGTTCAGTGGTGGGATCTCATACTGACTCATCAGAATCTCACTGGAGGAGGAGGATTTCAGTTCTTATGAGGAGCCTCTAGGAGACAAGATCTTCAATTATTTTATACTGAAGTGACCTTCGCTCGCTGGAGAGAAAGCTCAGTGCTAGCTTTAAAAAGTTTGTGTCTCAAATGAGCATTTGCACTGTGCAAGTTTAAAGAGGCGCTTTCCTGACTTTGCAGGGTTATCCATATGGAAAAGAGTAAATACAGTTGAAGTGTTAATAACTGTACATGCAAGGTCAGTTTTGTAGCGCCGCAGAGGTATAAGACACTGTTGAATTGCATTATAAGAACTGAGGAGCCAGATAGTTAAAAAATATATATAATGTTCCCGTAAAAAAGAGCATATTGACCCGCAAATAACAGCCAACAGATTAACATAAAGCTAAATAACCTCTGGAGGCACAGCTGTGGAGAGGACAACGATCCAACTCTAAACGGTCCCACAAATCATGATTTACTCCCAGTCAAATATCAGTGTAATATCAATTTCTCATCATTAAGATCATCATCCACTCTTTTTCATCTTTTATCTACACACTCTTCCTTGTGGCAGTTGAGATAGAGTCAGAGGTTACTCTTCCTTACTTTAGTTGCAAAGATCTTTTGTTCAATGGTGTAATTACTTCAAGGGATTCCTTCAGTATAAGAGCAAGAGACCTTTAAGACTTAAGTGAACATTTTAAGAAAACATTAAAGAGAAGACAAAAGACACCACTGATTTGATGTTCATTCATACTTCAGTGAAATCTTAAATTGATGTTATGGTGTTTTGGTGCCTGATCCCAAAGTAGGGCATAAACCTCCGGATATCTTGACTTCTGCTGTAACGTTTTTTCAATAAAAAGTCTCTTGCAAGTTCTACAATGCTATGATCTGGGCAATCCCAACACGTTGGAGAAGCCCTTTAAAAGGAAGCTGTTGTGAAATAAAACAATTGAGCTCTGTCTCATCAATTATGAAAGTAAATCAAAGAAATGAAGGAAAAAGTGAATTTGTGCATGTTGTTTGTGTGCCTCAGGTTCTCCTGGCGTTACCAGCTGCGTGAGTTTAAGAGTGAGTTCCGCGTGGTGGCCGTGGACATGCGGGGCTACGGGGAGTCCGACCTGCCGCTCTCCTCTGACAGCTACAGCTTCGACAGCCTGGTCACCGACGTCAAGGACATCGTGGAGTACCTAGGTGAGAGAGAACAGGAGAACCGTGTGTCTGTGATGTGAACAGAACTCTTGTTTAGACAGCGTCTCCAGTTTCCAAAATAAACGTGTTTATCAGTGTTAGGCTGTGGACAGCCTTCAGGCCTGCAGCATGGTATTAAAACTTCCTGTGACTCATTCTTAATGAACATGGGACAGTGTGCAGATACCGAGCCTGCTGACTGCATGCTAACACTAGCAGGGAGCTAGCCTGAGGCTGTCTGCACCAATGGTTTTCTGCCAAGCTGACACTTTCACTCTTCAATCGGCCAGCATTTCACAGGATAATAAGCACTGCTTACCTACTGTATGAAGTAACCCGTCTTAGCATTGACACTTGCCAGCTCCTATTTTAGTGTGTATTCTTGGTGCTAATTACAAGTAAACGTTTAAATATATGTTTTGTTTTATAGAGCTCTTAATGTTCTTGCCCTCCTATTTATCAGACTTGCTTTGAACCCTCTATAACCCTGAGGTCTTCTGGTACTGCCTTTAATGATATACTGTACCTAAAGTGAAAACAAGGACCCACAGTGAGACGTCTTCTTCTTATTACAGCCCCCCAGAAGACCTGAGGGCGGCAGAGAACATTCATATGTTTAAGAGCCAACTCAAAACCTACATTTTTTATTTGTCTTTTAATTGAATAGCATTTCTTCAACATGTGTATGGAGTTTAGTGGGGTTTTATTAAATTACAATGTTATGTCTTACACTGGTTATTCTATAAATAAATACATCTAGAAATGGGGTTGATTTTGTTTCTAAAACCAAAACATTGAACTGAAAGATGCTAAAATGCTGTATGGATACATCTCCAATGGTTCATCCTACGGGCAACACATTACATTTCAATACACAGTCTGCTGGTCCATTGGTAATATTATAATATTAAGTTGAACAGCTTTAAATGGTGCAAGTCCATTTGATCTTTAACCAAGTAGAAGTCCAGCCCAGAGGAACCCTCTCTCCCTAATATTCCCCTGCACATTCCTACTTACATTGTTCTAACCGTCACCGTCATGTCTTCTAGGCTTTAAAGAGCTAATGCATATTGCTGTGGAGAGGATTCACTCAATGCTCATTTGAGTGGAAGTGGGAGGCTTGCATTGATCATAAGATAACTGCCGTACTCTGACACGTGATTGAACTACAGAGCCTTTTTACAGCGGCAGTTAGAGCCCAAATGGTCCACATTACAGTTCCACATTCACAGCCAGCTAATGGGGCCACACCAATCAGAGGCTTGCCCTTCAACCACCAATGGCAAGTAACATTGCCCTTTTCTTTGCTCACAGCAAACACTGCATGGCCCTCTGTAAAGTGGCCCCCAGACCTTTGAAGTGCATGTGATATTAATGTTGAGATGAGGTTCGCTGTGATTCATAACAGTGGTTGTAAATTGTGCCAGCAAAGGTAAGAGGATGACTTTAGAACAGTAATGTGATCAGCATCCCTCAGATGGATGCCCTGACCTTGATCTGCATTTGGCTGTCAGCATGAATAACATTCATTAGATGGGTGTAAATGTCCCAGCAATAAGAAAGTGAGAACAGTATTGATTTTGTGGCTATGACATGCCTTAATAAGCAGCACAAACATCCTTTATTAGGAACAACAACAACAGACTAATGCTCCTTTGCTTTTCTTCCAAGGATACAACAGATGTTGCCTCGTTGGGCACGACTGGGGCGGGACTATAGCCTGGCTGTTTGCCATCCAATACCCAGAGATGGTGACCAAACTCATCGTCCTGAACAGCCCCCATCCCTCTGTGTTCACAGGTATGATTGTGCAAAAGAATAAATCCCAACATAGTTTTCCCTATGTCGGGACCTATTATGCTCATTCTCAGGCTCATATCAGTATGTAGTGTCTCTACTTTAAAGAGTCCTATCCTGCTGATGTTCAGGTGTATATCAGTATGTAGTGACTCTACTTTAAAGAGTCCTCTCCTGCTGATGTTCAGGTGTATATCAGTATGTAGTGTCTCTACTTTAAAGAGTCCTATCCTGCTGATGTTCAGGTGTATATCAGTATGTAGTGTCTCTACTTTAAAGAGTCCTATCCTGCTGATGTTCAGGTGTATATCAGTATGTAGTGTCTCTACTTTAAAGAGTCCTCTCCTGCTGATGTTCAGGTGTATATCAGTATGTAGTGTCTCTACTTTAAAGAGTCCTCTCCTGCTGATGTTCAGGTGTATATCAGTATGTAGTGTCTCTACTTTAAAGAGTCCTCTCCTGTTGATGTTCAGGTGTATATCAGTATGTAGTGTCTCTACTTTAAAGAGTCCTCTCCTGCTGATGTTCAGGTTCATATCAGTATGGAGTGTCTCTACTTTAAAGAGTCCTCTCCTGCTGATGTTCTGGTATATATCAGTATGTAGTGTCTCTACTTGAAAGAGTCCTCTCCTGCTGATGTCCAGGTGTATATCAGTATGTAGTGTCTCTACTTTAAAGAGTCCTCTCCTGCTGATGTTCAGGTGTATATCAGTATGTAGTGTCTCTACTTTAAAGAGTCCTCTCCTGCTGATGCTCAGGTGTATATCAGTATGTAGTGTCTCTACTTTAAAGAGTCCTCTCCTGCTGATGTTCAGGTGTATATCAGTATGTAGTGTCTCTACTTTAAAGAGTCCTCTCCTGCTGATGCTCAGGTGTATATCTGTATGTAGTGTCTCTACTTTAAAGAGTCCTCTCCTGCTGATGTTCAGGTGGATATCAGTATGTAGTGTCTCTACATTAAAGAGTCCTCTCCTGTTGATGTTCAGGTGTATATCAGTATGTAGTGTCTCTACTTTAAAGAGTCCTCTCCTGCTGATGTTCAGGTTCATATCAGTATGGAGTGTCTCTACTTTAAAGAGTCCTCTCCTGCTGATGTTCTGGTATATATCAGTATGTAGTGTCTCTACTTGAAAGAGTCCTCTCCTGCTGATGTCCAGGTGTATATCAGTATGTAGTGTCTCTACTTTAAAGAGTCCTCTCCTGCTGATGTTCAGGTGTATATCAGTATGTAGTGTCTCTACTTTAAAGAGTCCTCTCCTGCTGATGTTCAGGTGTATATCAGTATGTAGTGTCTCTACTTTAAAGAGTCCTCTCCTGCTGATGTTCAGGTGTATATCAGTCCTCTCCTGCTGATGCTCAGGTGTATATCGGTATGTAGTGTCTCTACTTTAAAGAGTCCTCTCCTGCTGATGTTCAGGTGTATATATCAGTATGTAGTGTCTCTACTTTAAAGAGTCCTATCCTGCTGATGTTCAGGTGTATATCAGTATGTAGTGTCTCTACTTTAAAGAGTCCTCTCCTGCTGATGTTCAGGTGTATATCAGTATGTAGTGTCTCTACTTTAAAGAGTCCTCTCCTGCTGATGTCCAGGTGTATATCAGTATGTAGTGTCTCTACTTTAAAGAGTCCTCTCCTGCTGATGTTCAGGTGTAATCAGTATGTAGTGTCTCTACTTTAAAGAGTCCTCTCCTGCTGATGTTCAGGTGTATATCAGTATGTAGTGTCTCTACTTTAAAGAGTCCTCTCCTGCTGATGTCCAGGTGTATATCAGTATGTAGTGTCTCTACTTTAAAGAGTCCTCTCCTGCTGATGTCCAGGTGTATATCAGTATGTAGTGTCTCTACTTTAAAGAGTCCTCTCCTGCTGATGTTCAGGTGTATATCAGTATGTAGTGTCTCTACTTTAAAGAGTCCTCTCCTGCTGATGTCCAGGTGTATATCAGTATGTAGTGTCTCTACTTTAAAGAGTCCTCTCCTGCTGATGTTAAGGTGTATATCAATATGTAGTGTCTCTACTTTAAAGAGTCCTCTCCTGCTGATGTTCAGGTGGATATCAGTATGTAGTGTCTCTACTTTAAAGATTCCTCTCCTGCTGATGTTCAGGTGTATATCAGTATGTAGTGTCTCTACTTTAAAGAGTCCTCTCCTGCTGATGTTCAGGTTCATATCAGTATGGAGTGTCTCTACTTTAAAGAGTCCTCTCCTGCTGATGTTCTGGTATATATCAGTATGTAGTGTATCTACTTGAAAGAGTCCTCTCCTGCTGATGTCCAAGTGTATATCAGTATGTAGTGTCTCTACTTTAAAGAGTCCTCTCCTGCTGATGTTCAGGTGTATATCAGTATGTAGTGTCTCTACTTTAAAGAGTCCTCTCCTGCTGATGCTCAGGTGTATATCAGTATGTAGTGTCTCTACTTTAAAGAGTCCTCTCCTGCTGATGTTCAGGTGTATATCAGTATGTAGTGTCTCTACTTTAAAGAGTCCTCTCCTGCTGATGCTCAGGTGTATATCTGTATGTAGTGTCTCTACTTTAAAGAGTCCTCTCCTGCTGATGTTCAGGTGTATATCAGTATGTAGTGTCTCTACTTTAAAGAGTCCTCTCCTGCTGATGTTCAGGTGTATATCAGTATGTAGTGTCTCTACTTTAAAGAGTCCTCTCCTGCTGATGTTCAGGTTGTATATCAGTATGTAGTGTCTCTACTTTAAAGAGTCCTCTCCTGCTGATGTTCAGGTGTATATCAGTATGTAGTGTCTCTACTTTAAAGAGTCCTCTCCTGCTGATGTTCAGGTGTATATCAGTATGTAGTGTCTCTACATGTCTCCATGCTTTAATGTTCAAAAAACTCTCTATTTTTCTCATACTGTCTGTGCTTAAGCACCTCTTTTCACCCTCTGTCTGAAACCAGAGCCCAGTCCGCTCTGATTGGTTAGTTGGCCGGCTCTGTTATGATTGGTCAACTGCTTAGAGATGCTCCGCCCCTTAGCCTATCCCATACAATGTGTTGGGGCGCTAACCAACAGAAGCGCAAGTGTTACATAGTGATGTCACTATGTTCAGGAAGTAAACAAAGGAGAACAACGGAGGGGGGGGAGAGAAACTCCCTCTGGAGAGAGCACAGAGATGTTAGCCTTTGCCTCTTTAACGTTGTAAGAGAAAACCAATGTTCTTCATACTAATCAGATTGCTCTTGGATTATTAATATGCTTATTGTCATTAATTAGGAAGCATATTACTTCAATTCTATGTTTGCATCCATCCGGCCAATCCTCTTCTGTCGTAAGGGGAAGATGATGAGAAGCTAATTACAGGAGGCTAATTTGAGGCTGGAACAGCTGGTGGAGTAAACAGAGAGGAGAGCCATCCGGAGTCATCACGTCCAAGAGCCCTCAGAGGGTGAAGACTGGGCCTGAATTACTATCTAACAATGAACTCCTCCTCACCTGTCCTCTCCTCACCTCTCCTCCTCTCCTCTCCTCACCTCTCCTCTCTTCTCCTCCTCTCCTCTCCTCTCTTCTCTTCCTCTCCTCACCTCTCCTCTCCTCTCCTCTCCTCTCCTCTCCTCTCCTCTCCTCACCTGTCCTCCCCTCTCCTCACCTGTCCTCCCCTCTCCTCACCTCTCCTCTCCTCCTCTCCTCCTCTCCTCCAGATTACGCTCTTCGTCACCCGAGCCAGCTGCTGAAGTCCAGCCATTTCTTCTTCTACCAGCTGCCCCGCTTCCCCGAGCTCATGTTCTCCATCAATGATTTCAAGGTGGTCTGTTGTGTGGGCTTAAGCACTTTCAAGGTCAAGGTTGTGTGTGCTAGCATCCTCTGTGTGTTGTGTGTGCATGCACATGCGTTCATATGCATTGTTGTATGTTGCATGATATCACAGTGAAAGGCTTAATATCCTGATGTCAGAGATTATTTGTAAACAAAAGGATCAACTTTGGAGGAAATCTAAAATGAGAGATTATGACCAAATCATTTGCTAAATTGTATTGCGGCGTTTTGTCATCAAAAGGCAATAATACTTTTTGCAAAGCTGCTGCTGGCCACGCCCCTCTGAGAAGTGATTGGTTAAAAAAAGACCATGTTGCTCTAGGAGGAGATTCAGGTGATACGATGGGCGGTTGTTACCTTGGTTGCTGATTGGTTAATGGTTGTATAACCCAAAACACATTGTGACATCACAAAGTGGCCAAACTCTGATCAGCTCATTTTCAGACAGGTTTTTATAGAAATGGATCAGGACAACAAAAGAGAGAATCTTTTTTCCTGAAACTTTCAGAGTCTCTTTCCACAGCGGGACACATGTTGATGTAGAAGAGACAGGCTTTTGCATAATAGGGGACCTTTAAGGATAAGGAGCATTGTTGGAATATGATAACACATTTGTATATGTAAAGGTTTGCAGGGGTGACATTCTTTTAGCATTTCTAAAGCAAAAATGTAATTGCAAAAAGTAAAACGCATTGGTTGCATGACTTTACGTCACTCCGCAATGAGGCTGTAAAGGCAGACCAGTCAGTGATACCTTTTAATATCCCGACAATCTCTGGAGTCTCATTTAGCCACTTGCTAGCAGCCGCCTTTTTAAAGACTCGTAAAAGCTTCAAAACTCACAAGTGGGGTAATAACTGACATATTTCATGTCCTAGGACAAAACGTGAAAAATGTCTACACTTGTGATAACCATATACCTCATTTCAGTAACCCAATCAAAAATCCAATCAGAAAATCTATCGTCTTCGAGGCGAGGGGTTAAATCTCTAACATTGCATCAAATAATACAAGCATCATATGCATGGAAGCAGGTGCCATATGGGACCTTTCACTGATACTAAACTACTTTTTAGTACAAGAAAAAAGAAACAACTATACAATGCTCTAATTTAATGCAGAGATTTTCTCTCCATCCGTCAAATATTTACATCTACATACAGCTCCATTGTTACATGTCGGACTGGCCAGATGGCTCAGAGTGATCGGTATAAATCAGATCAAAAATAGAAAATGTGCAGTTGTATCTGACATGTGAACTGTATGCATGATTGAGCATGCCATCTGCTCCCTTCTCATGCAATGACTTATCTTAGAATAGCTTTTATATGCTTACATCAAAGAAATATCACTGACCCATGCTCAAGCAGCCAAGCGATATGTACCTTAGCACTGGGGACAAAAAAAACATGAACACACTGCATGTAATCACAATATGTAAAATGCTGTAGAAAAGTGGGAAATCTAGAGATAACATTACAGAAAGGTATTTTCTTCAGCAAAGTCTGCATTGTAGATGGTCGTATTGGATACAATGCATGGCTGCAGAGAAAAAAAAGGCAGTCCATCTACATTTGTGTTGCTATATAGCCTTGGCTTGAGTGAACACACAGCCAGCAGGTTAAGTCATTACTTAAACACCAGAACATCATAATTCCATAGCATTGACACATTCTCATATTGATATGAATATGAACAGAATAAAGATACATTTTCCCTTAAAATCTCACACGCAATCATATTTCGGATTTTTTCTTTTGTGTCCTCAGCTCCCTCCCCCTGAGCCAGAACCATGTCCGGTCTCCTGTGCTGCTGCTGTGGGGGGAGCGAGATGCCTTCTTCGAGCAGGAAATGGCCGAGGCATGCCGCCTCTACATCCGGAATCATTTCCGTCTCAACATCATATCTGGGGCCAGTCACTGGCTGCAGCAGGACCAGCCTGATATTGTGAACACCCTCATATGGACCTTCCTGAAGGAAGGAGAGGGACGCAAAAGCTACAGGAACTAAATCCACAGCGAGGCCTCCTCCACCCCCCCCCCCCCCCCCCCCCCTGCCCCTCTCGCTTGCCACACCTGGAAGCCTGGAATATGCCTGTGATACCAAGCAACATAGTGATAATGCAATCATTCTTTAAATCTTTCACATTCGAGATATTTTTTAAAGACGTCAGCAGCAAAGGAAAAGAAACAAAGCACACCTCACCAGAGAGGACACTGAGCAGGACGTGTGACACATATATTCAAGATGTTTTTTGCACATGACATCCGCCTTAAAGTTTTTCAGTTACAGCATTACAAATGTGCAGCAGAATCTCTTGTGACTTGTATTGTGTGGTGCCTTTTAACTTTGGAGTTGTAGAGATGTCCTGAGAGGCAAGGATGTGCACTTGTATGTTTCACCGGGTCGCTCCACTCTTCTTTGGGCACAGTCCTTCGGGAGCCATCGCTCTCCCACTCCCTTTATCAGGTAGTGTTGTCGAAAGAAGCTTTCTTTTTTTGTATTTTTTCCTCAGAGATGCTCAAATGTAGAGAATGTTGTTATCTTGATCTTCCTGTATAGACACGTCAGTGATGTTTGACTATTGTACTATTTTGTATCTATTCCTACACACTGCATTTTGAAATTCACAGAGCCAAGTCTACACCTTTTGATTTTATAAATAAACTAAGTGTCAATCTGTTTGACTGCATTGCCTCTCATCATGCCTGGCCTGTTTAAAGATAACAACAACAGTGGTGTGTTTGAAGCTGTGCGCTGGGCTTCATGATGCCTCCAGGTTAGACAGAGAAGAGATGAAGAACACCAGAAATACTATTGTATGTGCTGTTAAATATAGCACAGAGCTGAGTAATACAGCAGTTGATGTTGGTTATTTTGGGTTTCCTCTGTAGAACAAAAAATATATATTTTTAGATCCCTTCCTGACATTGTTGATGTAATGAAATGTTAATGTGAAATTATACTGAGATGTCTATTTATCAGTTTTACATAAACAAGTTTCAGTGCTGTTGTCAGGCAATACATTATAATATCAGTTTAAAGACAGCAAAAAACATAGACCATTATACACTTTAGTCCTTTTAATTGGCTTATTGTTCATTATTTATAATACATTGGTTTCAATGTAATTCTTAAAATTATGCCTTATTAGAAATTAATTTGAATTGCACCAAATGGCTCTGCAGTAGATCTTACTCTGCAACCACGCTGGACATTTGCTGTGTTTGTTTCTCTAATGCTGATTCAAACATTTACAGTTGCATTTCCACTGACAGCATAGGTTAACGATGCAGGAGAGGTCGATGACATCAACAACAGTCAGGGACAAGCTCTTTCGCTGCCTTCAAGGGCAGTGGGAAATATTATGTCTGGCACACAGGTCAGTATTTTTCAGGACTTTTTTTATTTTTATTTTTTTAATAATCATCGCATGGATTGAAATGTTATTGATAAGCAATATTAGTGTTGTTTTTTTTACTTGTGATTTTGCATTATTTATATTTTTAATTTTGTTGTAGACTTGTAGTTGAAGATTGTGGTCTGTATTTTTTATAGAGAGCCGAATTCAAATGACAGTGTTGTTTCCCCTAAAAGTGGGCGGGGCCGTAATTTTCGCCCTGAAGTGACGTAGATGTTACTCCCATCTATGGACATTGATCGCTTACTGCTATATTTAACCATATATCGAGCCCGATCTTCGATTTCCAATGATTTAATGTAATTGTTTGCCTGTCTGGCCATTGTAATCGGCTCTTTGAAGATCCAAAAATCCACGGTTTTCTTAAATTTCTGATCGGATCGGCAAAAACTTCAGAATTTGAATTGACCACCATTCAAATGACAGCTTTGTTCTATTTCGTATATGGCTTCGCCATTTTCACTTGCATTTTTGGGACCTGAATTTGACTATTCACATTTTTTTAACTTGAATTTTTACATTTTTATTTAAATGTTAAATGTAAATTCGGAGCAAAAAAATTCAGATAGATGATTTTCAAAGTAATTATTTTCAATGCTATAAATTCGGTGTCTGACAAAATTCAAATACTTCTGTTTCTTGTTTGCTTCCATACCGCGTCCTTCGTAGCATGTGTGTCACATGTGTATCCTCCGTGGTCTTAAAATCCCCACAATGCTTTGCGCACGGACCAATTTCCCAAATCTTAGGCGGAAATCGCGCTCCATTTAAGGCGGGACCTCGCATATGACGCACACCTGCACACCTGTTAGCCTGTTCCACCATTCTTCGTTTTCCGAGGCTAGGAAGGATTCTTGCCTCGCTTCTGAAGGAAGTGACTCGGAAGACATGTCCTACCAAGGAAGTGTCCTCGACATTGAGAAACACCCAGTATCTTGTTCCAAAAAATATTCATTACATTCAAAAACATTTACATATTTCAAACTTCAAACAATTGGACTATGGGTGGGTTCAGATCTAATTGCTACCCGGATGCAACAATAAAGTGTGAGGCGAGGTCTTACTCTGAGATATGAAAATAAAAACACAAGGGACCAGAAGAGTTTAATTGTAAAGTGTTAGAATTTCGAGGTTAGGCACAGAACCTGAAAGCATCATCTGAGGACACGGCACCTTCCTTGTTTGCACTGCGCATGTGCCGCAGCTTCCGGGCTGTGACGACTTGGCCACTCCTCCGAATTGCGAGCCGTGCTCTGGAGGGCGATGGGTGGGGAGTAGAGCAGCGTGCAGCGGTGATGTCAACAACATCGGTCAGTGGGTCAGCCGACGACACGTTAATGAAGATGCTTGAGCTGGTAACCGAACCTCATACGAACAGACGGCGGTAACTCATTTGTGTCGGTTTATTTTGGTCAGCAGACATTCATGGTTTAAGGAAGATAACTAACGGTAGCCCATGTTAGCTAGCGCGAGCATGCTAGCAATGAGAGAGACATGAGAGTAATGTTATTCGGCTAACAGCACAGGCCGTGTCGGGCAGAGAAACATCAAGTGCACGTGTAAGAATAGATATTTGTGTGGGGTTTAGCCGAGTGTGGTTAAATTATTGAAACAAATGTAAAAAGAAGAGAGATACTGGTTATCATTGGTGTTATCAGTGGTGTTTTCTCGTAAGGAAGCTGAGTAAAGCCGGTTTTCTGTTCAAAGCTATATTTGTCGATGTTCTAATTACGTTAAGGTTGAATAATATCCTTGGACGCGGTGAATTTGTTTTGGGTTGTCGAGGTCATCGCTACCGTCCTTTTTAATAGATGTTCTTCATATTGACAAGCAGCAGCGCCTCTATGGGTTACAGTGCTGGTAATAGTGTGTGGTGTGTGAAGGTGTTGCAGACTGACAGAGAGCATGTCAGGTGAAGCTGGCATCATATGATTGAAACAGTATTAAAGCATTACATTGCATTTTATTTGGCTTGTCGGATTCAAGTGATATGCTACTGTGTCTCTTTTTTCAAAGACCTGTCTCACTTGGCCAAATATATTCTTACGTTTCTTTCCCAGCATGCAACTGGGGTTTTATGTAGCCCAATTACTTTTAATAGTATGTGTTCTTATACAATGTTTTTAGCTCATTGAATGTATGCCTTGGCATGAAATGTCCTGTATAAATGAACTGACTAAAATCTCTTGCCTCTATCTCAGAGAACCTGATGAATCATGATCACCACAGAGGCTGCCAGGGAGTTCCAGGCCAAAGAGCGCAAACACAAAGAGCAGCTGAAAATATGTTTATCAGCTGCATTATCTGCAGACCTTGACAGGTAAGACATGTGACAGTACTATGCACTGAACGGGGTGTAATCTTGGATCAATGGCAAATGTCAATAACAAAAAGCTTGCCGCGCCTGCAACTTCTTTTAAAGGCTCGTCAGGAAGGTAGGGTCAGGAAAAGGGATCAATGCTGCTGTCATTTAAAACAAGTATGTAAAACAATAGTTTTACAAACAAATCTCAACTCAAAGACCACATTTAAAGAGGCAGTTCAGCAAATGTATTCATTAACTTCAACTAACTTGTCAAAGAGAGAAGTACTCAGTTATTAAAACTGTTTTAATGTATCCTCTTTGGCCCAAGAGGAGCTTATAAAGTTAGAAAAATAACCTTGGTGCAGTCACAGTGGCGGTTCTAGACCAATTTGACTGGGGGGGGCCAGTTATTTTCTGAGGGGGGCACAATAAATGCAGGACGAAAAAGACAAAGACTATGAAGTAATTGCGCATAAGAAAACAATGCAATACAGTTATTGGTATTTGTTTCAGTACACATATTTATCTCAGATACTTATAGTTACAGTTTTTACGCTCTCATGCAGGGGTCTCCAACCTTTTTTAGGATGAGAGAGGAAAAAGGTTCCCCACCCCTGCTGTAAATAATAATATAAACCCTTAATTTATAACTTAACATCTCTGTCTCCTGTTGATCTGAGTATATTATAAAGAATAGCCAGTTAATTGAAGCATTATAGCTAGGGTTGGGAACCGAAACTCGGTTCCAGATGAGAACCGATAAGAAAATGCCGGGTACCCATACAAAATTTCGGTTCTGCTTAACGGTTCCTAAACGCGGTAGACCCTGTATTCCACCGGGTCCGTCTGCTTCTACAGCCAGGGTAAGGGCGGACTGGCCATCTGTGTGTTCTGGAGAATCACAGAACGGCCGGTCGTCAGCGGGCCGTTGACGGCCGGCTCGGTACGCTGACGGTCGGCACCGCCCTTCATTTTTTAAACGGCATCATGTAAGTTGCGGCGACAGGCGACAGAGGTCCACAGTTGCCCCGCAGCGAGGCTCCCCACGCCCTCCCGTAGACAGTTCACGAGCTCAGTCACTTCATAACACCAAAGATGGGTCGCGGTAAACGCTCTAAAGTGAGGCTCCACTACACTAAAAAAGAAAAAGACAAGGCACAGTGTAATGCCTGTTAATAGCTTGCCACAGGCATAGCTCAGTTAAAATAAAGCACAGCTATTGTGCAATACATCTGTATTGCATGTATCTTTTTTATTTGTAAAAATGTCAGTTAAAGCTTAAAAAAATAAAGATATTTTTGTTATCTAAACATTTGACCTCTTTCTTTTATAATTTTGGAATCGAAACGGGGAATCGATAAGCAGAACCGGAATCGATACATTTCAAACGATACCCATCCCTAATTATAGCACAGGCCTTTGTCAGATGGTATATGACGCTGTTTCTTTTCTGCTTCGAATAGTTCTCTCTTTTTTACACCATACCTGTGTTTGCATCCCTGTTTAAAGAGCATGCAACAAAAAGGCAGAATATCCTGGCCTCTACTAATGCATGCAATTTGACCATCCTTTTTTTGTCTCCTATGAGTCCCCAGTCTTTATGTACAATATTGAATTAACCTTTAACTTCACCTCTAAGTTTACCTTGGAGGAAAGTTTCCTGGAAATTACTTTTACTTTTTAAAATGACCTTTACTTATCTTATTAAGCTTTAAATGTAATAATATTATAATATTGTCCTACTATTTTAGGCATTCATTTGAATACACACAATGGCTACAGCGTAGTTTTGCAATGAAAATCTTCAGATTAACAATGACGTAGCTATTTTGCATGTTAAATTAAAGCCTTTGAAAATGTAATCTTAAACATACCATAGAAATAAAAGCATAACAAAGTACAAGTTATTGTTTTGAAGAAAAGTAAACATCTACTGAGGAAGACCACAAAGTCTGGTTGAAAACTG